TTTTTAGTAGAGACGGGGTCTCACTCTTGCTCAGGCTGGTCTCGAACTCCTGAGCTCAAACAATCCGCCCGCCTCGGCCTCCCAGAGAGGTAGGATTACAGGCGTGGGCCACCGCGCCCGGCCTCTTCCTAGAATTTTGATGGAAATTGCATTCCTTTTTATAGGAACTTGTTCTCTGATTTCCTTTTGACTGAACATATTTTGCCTTGGACAGTATAATATATTAAAATATCTTAATTTTCCATGTTTGTAATAAATTATAGATACCTTAGTCTACTTGATGCCTGAAAGGTCATACCAAACTTAAATAAATTCAGGTAATGAATATATAATGAAAGTAGAAATTATGAACCTGCTAAGAATTTACACTTTCCGTATATGGTTGATGGCTTGCCGTTATCACCTTTCTGGGCCTCAGTTTCCTCATCTGAAAAATAAGAATATTGGGCTAAGATGATTTGTAAGAATTTCTTGCAATTAAAAAGCACAGTGATTCACTCAGTCACATAACAAGGTCAGACCTGTGGATCTCCTGATTTGTGAGCATTCTGCTGGTGAGCCACAAGGTGGGGGGCTTGTCCTTAGAATGATTGTCATAAGTCATTTAATGTTTTTTTGCTAATTTAAGTTTAAATCTTAAAAATGGGGGAAGTTTATTGTGGGAGGAAAAGGAATGAGGAGGGGCTTGAATGGATAGAATAATTTCTGTATCCCTTACAACCGTTGACATTTTTAGATCCTATCAGTTAATAAGTGAATGTTCCCCTGTGTAGACAAGGTCATATTTAGAAATCTGCTAGTGCCTGTTCTCAACAAATTGATATGTTAATTTGTTGGGAAAGTGGTGGAAATGAAAGCTCTGGGGACCTTTTTTTTTTTCCCCCAATTTTCCCCTAAAATGTCAGTGAATAAACAAAGTTGATAGCTGCATGCATCATAAAAGGTGGCAAATGAGCACATTTCAGAGTTTGGAAGATGATTCTATGAACTCACATGCAGTGGGATAGGATTAAGAAGTGTGACTAGAGGCTGAACCTACTAGGTCTGCTGCCTAAATGTATCCTGCTAATCGATGTTAATCCAGGAGAATCTGTTCTGAAAAGCAGAAACACATGGACTTGGATGGGTAGCAGCAAGAATCGGAGTCCTTGTTTTAGATAAATAGAACTCAAGCCCCAGCTTTGTAGAATAGGGACAGGAAAGAAGAGACAATGAAGAGCCCTTCCTAATAGTTTTGTCATCTTATACCAGTGTCTTAGAATCCTGCAGTTAACATTAATCTGCTGGGTAGCTTAGAAGGCAAAAGGGTATGTGGCTGAATAATTTCATACTTGGCCAAGTTGTCATTCAGGGAGATAATACAAATCTGTTCTGCAGGTCTCTTAGAATCTTTTTTGAAGTTAACTCTTTAGAGGAAATGAATTAAAATAGAATTCAAGAATGAAGAAGTGCCAGAACCTGTGTTTTAAAATTGTAACTAATGACGTACATAAAAGCACTAAGCTATAATGGGGAATAGGTAGATGTTAAGCAAATTTTGTGACAACTATGGGATAAAAAAGAACGAAAAGGGTACGAAACATGATTTTGAAAGATTTATGTACCTGTCTATGGATATGTGTAAATAAATGGTAGACTAGAAAAGGGCTTGAGGATAGTGGCCTAAGCAAATGGATAAATGTCTTACTATAATTTATGGTTTTGAGAGGTTTTAGAGTATTTATGAAAATATTTTAGTTTCCTACTTTTTTTTTTTTTTTTTGAGACAGAGTCTTGCTCTGTTGCCCTGGCTAGAGTACAGTGGCATTGTCATTGCTCACTGCAACCTTTAACTCCTGGGCTCCAGTGATCCTCCTGCCTCAGCCTCCCAAGTGGCTGGGACTATAGGTGTGCACCACGACGCCGGGCTAATTTCTTCTATTTTAGGTGAAGACAGGGTCTCAGTCTTGCAAGCGATCCTCCCACCTCAGCCTCCCGGAGTGCCAGGATTACAGGTGTGAGCCACGGGCCTCACCTTAAGTTTACCACTTTTAGAATTAACACCAGGGTGTTTATCTGACATCATTGTAAAAAATAAAATATAATACAGTCTGGGTAACACAAATCAACATTTTAAAAAATCCTAGAAATATAACAGAAACCACACTGGAAATCCATCTGGTCAAAGCAGTTGTAATAATAAATGTATGAAATCCCCCATTAAGGAGGTAAAGTATTTTAAAAGAAGGAAATTTCATTAAAAAAAAAAATTTAGAAGTTTGTTACATGAAAAGGATAAACATAAAGCATAACGGACAGAGGCTTAATACCAAAGCTCTAGCTCAGGTATGTCAATCAAATGTGAGCACAAAGAAAGTAGGTTTGGCAATATTAACAATAAAATGGAATTTATGGCAAATTAATTATGGCATAAGGATCATTTTTATACGAATAACTGACACATTTCACTAGTGAGAAGATTATGGATCAACTGTCATAATAGCAGTGTGCATGAGACAAAAATATAGCTATGAGTTGAGCTCTTAGGCATGTGGTTGGGGGGGAGGATTTTAACGTATCACTGGCGAACTCTTCACAGGTTAAGTAGACAGAAACATAAACCATATGAACAGCACAATTAAAGTCAGAATTTGTTTTAAGTGTCAGTGAAGTGTATACAAAAGGTGCTCCTATATCAGGCAAAAAAAATAATTCAAGCTCAAACGATAGAAAAGGTTGCAGGTTTGATATACTCATTACTTAGTCATCACCTCCAGTTTTAACCATCAGAGAATAGACCCAAGTTGCCAATGTGGAGATCAAAGACTCAGCTTTATTCACTGAGGCCCCAAGTATCACTCCTGAAGAACAGGGCTCCTTGCTAAAGTTAGGTTGGAGAATGCTTGGGAACTCGGGCCACAGGAGTTGCCTCTCAATGTCTCCCTCCACACGTAGACCCTTGGACCTGCCTGTAGGTCCTGAATTGGAAATGCAGATCTGCATGGAGGATTGCAGCTTGCTTAGCAAAACCAGGTATTGATAAATGAAAAGCTGCAAAGATAAGGATTTCCTGACTTACATCTGGAAGGAAAGCTCTGGGCCCTGCTCTGGTTTTGCTGAACCACAGGAAGCCGGGGAGGAGGTCTGCTCTTTTTACTGATCGTGCAGTATGTGGTAAGACAGCCTGCTTTCTTTCGGAGGCACAGGAACTCTGCCCAGTAGATGTTGGCCTTTCACCTTCTCTTCACTTGTGGAGGAGCTATTGAAGGGTCACCTGTCAACAGATCGTTTTATTTCTTTGTTTCTAATCAGTATACCGTTTATTTCCTTTCTTGTCTTACTACATTAGGTTGGGCTCCCAGTACGGTGTTGAAAAGAAGTGGTAAGAGGGGATATTCTTGCCTTGTTCCTGAGTAGGCAAGATGCTGGTACTTTGAAAGTTCTAGTCTCAAACCTTAGTTAAACATTTTGTTCTCTGGAGAAAGGTATTTCCTAGGCCCTTTATCCCAGACAATGCAGGTACTACCTGTAGCACCTTTATCTGTTGATTGACTGCTCTCCTGCGGCTGGAGACTGTGGTGGTAGCTGGTTTCTCTGTGGGCTGATGAGAATTAGGTCGGTATATGTATGTTTACCATTTAATCCAGGATATTAAAAAACTTGTTCTGGCAGGTTGTGGCTATGGAGGTCATTTCCTTTGTGAGCAACAGTCAGTTATAGCAGTAAAGAACCGAAATAAGGTGTTATTGTTGGCACGGTTGTGATGGGCAGCTGGAACCTGCACTTCCTTGGCCCTTGTTCTTTTATCTTGTTTTATATGTGCAAAATTAGGAGAGGGAGCTGTAACATGAATTCTAATTCATATTAATGTAGAGAATGTTGGCCAAGAACATGGGCTTTGGAGCAAAACTACTTGGGTTTGAATCCCAACTTCACTTCTTGCCTGCGTAATCTCTTTATGCTTCATTGGCCTTTTCTGTAAAATGGGAGAAATCTGTAGGATAGTTGAAATGATTAAGTTTAGTTATACATCTGAAGTACTTTGAATAGTACCTGGCACAGAAACATTCAAGTATTAGCTATACTTATTAACAACATATACATTTGGTTTTCTTTCAGAATTGAACACTTTGCCAAAATCTATAGTCAAAAGATTGGCATCAAAAAGGAAGTTCTTTTGAAAACCTTGTGGGGAGATTATTACATGAATATGAAGGCTAAGAAGATTATGAAGGTTGATCAGGTAATGTGGTAAATGTCCCTTTGATTCTCGGTCACATTCTTGCCGTATGAAAACCTGTACTATAATGCTTTTAATAGATGTAATTCAGCTTTAGTTTATGTAGGTAAGTTCATGAGGGATTTTTTTTAACTGTATATAAAAATTGGGAAAGGCTTAGAAGTGTCGTATCCAAGTATTGTTTACATAGAGTTCTTAGCCTTTTTAAATATAGTGAGCAAAGACCTGCATTTTTTTAAAGAGAACCAAAAATCTCAGATCTTGGGCACCTGAAGACACATACTTTGTGTCATGCATTTGTATATGTCCTTCACCACAAGAAAATGTCTTTTCCAGACATCACTGTGTTTCACACTGTAGTCTCACCTGACGCCTGATCTCACGGTGCGCAGTGCTGATGGCAGTGGGAGGTGCTGCGTAACCCCTTCTGTAGGTGGAGGTGATGGGGGACTGCTCAGTCATGTAGCCTCCAAGGATACTTTTCTTGAAGCTCTATATTTTTAATGTAAAATTCAGGATTTCATGCATTTGTTCTCATTGAAAATCATATATATTCCTTTTAGAAAGTACTCATAAGTATAAAGCCACAGAAAAGGAAAAAAATCAGAAGCCAACAGTGTTACTAGTACAGTTTTAATTTCTTTCATTCCTTGTGGATAATGTATACTTCTTTCAGTTGAGATTATGCTGTTTATATAAGCTGCCTTTTGGCTTAATGTTATATCATGACCGTCTTGCCTCTGAAAGCTTTTTTATAAACAGTATATTTAAAAGGGAGTGAACATAGTTAAGTGGGAAAGAGCAGGCTTGAGAGTTAACTCTGTGTTTGAATCTTGGCTCTGCCACTTACCGGCTCTGTGACTTTTGTCTCCTTTGTTTCATCTGTAAAATTGAGATAATAGACTTACAGTGTAGTTATGATTGTATGAAATAATCTGTGTCAACTCTGTAGAACAGCTCCTGTCACATAGTAAACATCCTATTATTTTATTTTGTGAGAGTACCACTGTTTGTGTAATCATTCTTTTAAGATTGGACGTAGTTTTTTTTTTCAAATATTTTGACATTGTAAGTAAAGCTGTGATAGACATTTTTGTGCATAGGTTTTTGTCTTCATGATGACGTTTTTTAAACCAGGAATTCAAAGCCAATGACTTTTAATTTCCTAATACTTTTGCCAACAGTTCTTCAGAAAGGAGGTATCAGTTTATATCCCATCTCATGTATATGTGAGAGTGCATACCCCAAGGTGCTCTTGATATTAACTTTTTTGCATAGTTTGGTAAGAGAAGTGATAGAGTTTCTTTGTGAACATCAGACTGAAGTGCGTGGAAAGAGCCTGCATGCGCAGAGTGAAGTTGTGGCTCTTGGTCTGGGTGTTGTGTGTGTTTCTTTGATTTTAGTGGTGGGGCAGCCATAGTGATATGTCCCCCAAATGGTCACATTGTTTTGAAGTCCATTGTTCCCAGAGGAAGGGAACACTTGGTTATTATTATTGACTATTTAGAGCATTCTTATATAACTACTTTCATCTACTTTACTGTTGAATAAATATTTTCAAGTAGAAATAAGACATATTGATAATAAAAACATGTCAAGAATGAATATATAAACACCTATTAAATGTTCAGAAACTTAAGCCCATATATTCTTTTCTGTAGGCTAAAGGAAAGAAACCTTTATTTGTACAGTTGATCCTGGAAAATATATGGAGTTTGTATGATGCTGTCTTGAAAAGGTAAGACTGTTATAAAATTGTTTATCTTTGGGCAGTATAATTTGCCTCACTTTCCAGTTTAATGAACTACTTCAGAAAGCTGAGATAGGCTGAGAAAGCGAACAGAGCTTTTGCAGATGAGTTGATTGCAGGGCTTGGAAACAATTTAAAGGAATGTGTGTAACCCAAGTAAAGGGTGGTGGAGGAGGGACAGAACAGCAGTATTTTATAGAATGCTGAGGTGAAGAGCTAAACCGATGGAAAGAGACAGTAGGCCTCTGTTTTCACAAACCCAGTTTAAAAAAATAGTAATTATAGTGGAAAAGATGCTGGATATCCAGGATCATTAATAGGGAACTTGGAAAATAACTTGCCTGGTAGAAATTTGCTTTAGTGTATTTACTTTCTAAGTTGTTCCAGAGGTGGAATAATGACCTTTTAGCATTTATTTGTAAAATGTCTTTACCGGTTAACATAGTTTGCTTAAGGCGATGTGGAATGGTGCTTCGTGGGACATTTTAGAGAAGGAAGCACTTCAAAGTGTGAGAGTAGAGGTTAAGGAGTCCTCCGCTGTGGCAGGATCCCCTTCAAACATTTTTAGCCTTTTATTTAAAAAATGTAGCGCATTAGGAAAAAAATGTGCTGGATAACATTGAGTTCCTTTTCCCTGCTGCTTGTTCATATCTGTACGTGACTTTTTTCCCCTCAAATCTTGTGTTTGCTCTAGGGACAAAGAAAAAATTGATAAAATAGTGACTTCTTTAGGATTAAAAATTGGAGCCCGGGAGGCACGACATTCAGATCCTAAAGTTCAGATCAATGCCATTTGCAGTCAGTGGCTACCCATATCCCATGCTGTTCTTGGTATCCTTCATTTTAATGGTTTTTAATGAAATAGTTTTGATAAAACAAGAAAAAACAATGGGTTATTAGCAATGAGGAAATCCTCTGGAAATAACACATTCCAATCTAAAGTAAGTCTTCTCTGCTTATTTAGTGTTCTACCATGAAACTATATTTAATCCTTTAAAAATTAATACACTAATTAGTGTTAATACTACCAATAAGGAAATTTTTAAAAGACATTTTGTTTTTGTTTAGTAATCTGTAAAAATAAACATGCACTAAGATTTGTATGTAAGTAGATAATTTAGAAGTTTGTGTTAAATGACTGTTTCATTCCGTGGTCACAAGTAGCCAACCTGCTTGCTAAGCTCTATTGTCCTCATTTGTCCCATGAGCCTCAGTGTTAGAGTATCTGTCATGAGGATCCTGTCTTAGCTTCAGAGCTTCAGTGTGTTCAGGCACTCCCTGAAATCGTGTGCACATTTTGAGATGTGATGCATAAAACAACGTTGCCTTACCGCCCAGGCATTTTCTGTATAAACAGACACTGTTGCCTCGATATTTAGTGCCACACAGTGACTCTTTGTCTTGATGGAGGGCACTAGTTCAAGCTTTTCAGTCCTTAACAAGAGACTTCAGCTATGGTGTGCCAAAAACTTCCTAGTCCCCTTGACATCACTGCTGAGAGAGTGGAGAAACTGATGTGTGCAGGATCACAGATGTTCGACTCTCTTCCACCAGAAACTCAAGCACTGAAAGCAGGTGAGGCAAAGATGCTGGAATGTACCAGGTCGTTGGCTCTCCTCAGTCCCGGCTGCTCTAGACCAGTTTGCCGACTGGCTGGCCAATTTGCCAAATGTCCACTTCCACAAATAAACAGTTTCCCAAATGACCATTTCACCACCTTTGGTTCTCTTCTCCCCAGAGTTTCAGTTTTGCTGTAGTCATTTTGCTCAGCTAGGGGTTGGGAGACCAGAGACTCTGGGAATCCTCCCTCCTGCCCTGATCTTATTTCATAATCATGTTATATTCTATCCTCCTAAACAACCAAGAATGTGTTCCCTTAGCTGTGGCATCACTGCCATGGCTGTGTCCCTAGGGACTGGGGAAAGGTGGTTGCAGGGGCTCTGCTGCTGATTAGAAGCCCTGTACACACGTGCCACATGGAGAAGGAGCTCCCGTTCTGCTCCCTGTGGGCTCCGTGAAATTCATCTGTACATACTCTCTGTCTCCAATTCTTTTCCTCCAATTCTGTTGCATTTGTAACCCTGGCCCCCAAAACCACTCCAGTACTGTTCTTGGGGTCACTATAGACTCACTTTGTTAAATCTAATGGCCAGTTCTCAGTCCTCATTTGGCTAGATCTGTGACAAGCATTTGGCACAGTTGATCACTCCTTCCTCCTCGGAACACTTTCTGCCCTTGACTTCTAGGCTTCCACATGCTTCTCCTTTTCTCCCTGTCTCCCTGGCTGCTTGTCCTTAATCCCTTTTTCTGGTTCATCTCCATCTCCCTGACTTTAACTTTGGGGTGCCCCAAGCAAGGCTTAGTCTTTGGACCTCATCTCTTTTACCTGCGCTCACTTTTTTGGTGATCTTATCCAATCTCAAGGCTTTAAATGACAGCTATATGCTTAGAGTTCCAACGTCTGTACCTCCAGTGCATGTCCAGACTCCTGTGTCCAGTTTCTGCACTCCCTCTCTCTATTCAGCTGTCTAAGAAACATCTCAAACTTACATGTCCCAAACTGAGCTGTTTATCTTATGCTCAAACCTGCCTTGCTAGTTAACTCCCATCTCAGTTAGAGGCACCTCCATCTTTTCATTTGCTCAGTCCAAAAACTTCAGAGTCATCTGTGGCTCTTACATTTACCTTGTACTGCTACATCCAATCCATCAGAAGTCCAGTGTATTCTTCTAGACTCCAACGACTTCCTAACATTTTTGCTTCTGCCTCCCTGGGCCATCGCCTCCCACCTGGTTATTGCAATAGTTTAACAACTAGTGTTGCTTCTGCTCTTGATTTCCTTTCGTGTTTTCTCAACACTGCAGCCAGAGTGATCGTGTTACAATGTGAGGGCATGTCGCTTTATTCCTAATTCCTGTAGTTTTATTCGTGCTTGAATTTTACTGTTGAATTCTTTGTGTACAAATTATTTTGATATGAGGTGATGGGGTGGCTTAAAAAAATTAACCAATATCTTTTCAGCAGTCAACAAGGTAGCTTGTTAATAAAATAAATAAAGTTTATTAGGGCTTATAGTGGGTGGTTAACCTCATTCCATAGCCTTAGCTCTGATATGGCAGCTCACCCAACTACCACATCAGTTTTGCTTTTCTTCCCTCATTTGTGCCAACTCTGCTTGCTCTTGTTCTTCTTTTCTAAAAATCTTACAGTTCTCTTAGTGGAATTTTATCAAATTATAAAAAGTTATGGACTTCTTACACATTAGATGATGCTGTGTCTTAAACATCTTGTTTTCCAGAAAAATCGGTTTTTTAAATAATGAGAAAAATAGTGACATTTTTACTTTCTGTTTGTATAGCTTTTATGAAATGTGGAAGTGAGGACACTGCTCCAGTTATTATCTTTGTTTCCAAAATGTTTGCAGTTGATGCTAAGGCCTTGCCTCAGAATAAGCCAAGGTAAGGAAAAGCAGAAAGTTGGGCTGGGGTAGAGAAATGATGTATGTTCGCTGGGTGTGTAGTTGGGGTATGGGTGGGAGAGCACACATAATGTTTTTCTTCCTCAACCCAGAATTTGTATCAAGCCAACCCCCAGAGTACCATACAATTGGTATAGTAATCTACCCTTTTGTGATAGCTTTGTAGGAGAAAGCTATTGAAATCACCTCTGGGATATTGATTTGAACTGATGTAAATTCGAAGAACAGTAGTAATATCAACAGTTAACTTTTGCTGAACATGTAAGGAAAGTCTTAATCTAAGCCTGCCTTGTACCTCAATGGAGATTATGAGTATTTCTGCTTCTCTGTGTGTGTATTATATGTGTATGTACGTGGCGGGTGTGGGAGATGGATTATTTCTCAAGTTCTGGAGTCTTGGGGCATCTGTCTGTTCTTTATCCTCCGTTTTTCATATGTGTTCCCCTCCTCGCTGTCTGCTGCCTTCCCCACCAGTTTAGGTAGTGACCACCTCTCGTGGAAATTGTTGCAGCGACCTCCTTGCTGGTTCCCCTGCCCACCGTTGGTTCTACCAGTCCATTTACCACCCTTCCTTCGGAATGATCTTTCTGAGCCTCAGCTGTGAAGATACAAGTCTCTTGATTAAAATCCCTTGGTATTTTACCTCAGGTGTGAAGTGATGGTGATGATTTCAGTAGTACTTGCGGAGACAAGTTTTTAATTAGTTGTCATGTTTATTTTAATGTGTGTTTGTGTATGTTGCCTGTGTATGTCAAGTGATGCAGCTTTTCTTTTCCCAGTAATGAGATTTTAAGTTTTAGTGGGTTAAAAATGTTTGTCCATTTAAATAAAATATTAAGTAAATAATATGTTGATAATAGCTGAAATGAAAATGATACGTGGGTGAGTGAAGGTCAGATCACCAACCTGTGAAATAAACAACCTGCCTTAGTGGCATTTGAGACTTAGCGTGACCTGGCCCCAAACCATTTTTCAACTAGATTTTTATTTCTGTTTCTCTAGTATCCTATACTATTTCCTGAACAAATTTCACATCTTTACTTGTGTTGTTCCTTCATCTTGAAGTTATTTTTCTTCTGCTAAAATCTTGCTTGTCCTTTAGGAGAAAGATTGTATATTATTTTTTAGTACTTTGCTAGTAATTTGAACATAGACAGCTTCAGTAATTTTTGTCCTGAGGATAAGTGAAGGAATGGGCGAGTGAGTGAATGAATGAGTGAATAAACGAAGAATAGGTCAGTGAGTGGGTGATGAGTGAGTAGCTAAATGAGGGAGTGGATGAGTGAATAGTTGAATGGATGAATGTATATTTATGTATCTAGGCTGCCCCCAGATAGTACTTCAGTACTACATGTAGCAGCAATTTGTTGATATTTTAGGAAATTAGATTTTTTGGCCAGTAGGAGTATCTCAGAGATTCTAGTAGAATCCTAGGAAATATTGGAGAATTGGAAAACTTGCTCTTGAGATTTCAAGTGTATATATTTATATCATTTAAAATTCCTACCTGTACTCATCCTTCCTTTTCTTGCTGACGAATGATAGTATTATTATGCCTTTACTATTAATTACATTTTCTGTGAACATTTTTCTGAAATATTCATCAGTTATACTAAATTTACTGAATTTAGTATATTTCTGGTAGTGCAATTAATTCTATTCCATTAGATTGTTTTACTGATTTTAGTCTTTTCTGATTTAACCAGTATCAGTTTCAACAATTACTATATTAACAATAGAGTGTTCTCAGGTGTAACTGGGTAAGGTCATCATTATTACTTTGCTCTTTAACATCTTCTAGCTGTTTCTCATGTAAGTTTCACTGTTTTTAAAATTTGGGAAATATACCATTGGAAGTTGCTGTATTTCCATCTCTGCTATTTTATATGTACCCAGCCAGGAGCAGGAGAGTATTATTTTCCTTTAATATAGACTAGAATATGTTAAATTCTGTGTGATATATGTCAAAGAGAAAAGTAAAGCAGGAAATGGGATGGGACACCTGCAAAACCTAAAAGATTTTTCCCTGATTTAATGAAAACACTGTCTTTTACCCACTGCTCAACAGGCCACTTTGTTGAAAATGAAGTCTCTGTACGTGAATGGGACCGTCACAGGACTTTCTCCCATTCTTGTGTTCTCGCCTCTTCCTTTCCCCTTCAGATTCACCTCCCAGCCTGACATCTGAATCTTCACTCAACATTCTCACCTCTGGTCTCCTTCATCTCCAGTATTAGTAGCTACTGTCCCTTCAGGAAGTAACATCCATGATTGGTTATACTATAGCCTAGATATAGCTCACGACCCACAGCTGTTTCCTTACTAGCAGAGCCCTATTTTCTTGCAAACAAATTCCTCTTTGCTCTCAGCAAATACTGGATACGGTGTCTTCTGCTTTGTTTCCCTCTAGCACCACTCCCAGTGCCCACCACGGTGCCTGGCACAGCGCAGGTGTTAACCGGATGGATGGATAAATAAATAGATAGATAGCAAGCGTCCGTACATGTTAACTCAGTGACTATAAATGCTGATTATTCCAGAGCTTGTTGTGAACTTAGGCAGATGAGGACTTAATAAATAAGGTGAACAGATGTGCTTCTTTTCTATTATAACTGAAGCTAAAACGAAATCAGTGTTTACTGAAGGTGCTGATTTTATCATCTTTAATTCCTCCTGAGTGAAGGACCGTAGCCTGGTGACAATGAGCATAGACTTTAGAGCCAGACAGATCAGGGTTTGAATTACGGCCCCTCCATTTGATATCTGTGTAACTTTGGGTCAAGTTACTTAAGTTTTCAAAATATCCATTTTCTCATATGTAAAATAAAGGTATAATATCTACTTCATTTAATTTCTGTGATAAATATGTGATACAGTATATGGAAAGTGATTAACACAATGTCTGGAGCATAGTGATAAGATCATTGGAAGAGACTATGTCTCTTCAGGTGCTAACCGGTACACGAGGTATTTTTTCCTCCCTCCTCTAAGAATAATACTTTGTTCTGCATTTATATTTTAATTCACACTTTTAAGATACTCATGAGTTTTTAGCAAAAGTCTAGAAATAAGGAAAGTTACCTAAGGATTGGTTGAAGGAACAGCTGGAATGTTTAGCCTGGGGCAGAGAAGCGGGGGCATGAGTGCAGAAGATTCAGAGCAAAGTGGAGGGAAGTAGATTCGTGAGATGTTGCTCCAGAGGACAGGACCGCAGCCGTGGCTGGAAACTGCGAGGAAGCGGAGCTCATCGGCACTTGAGAGTTCTGAGGAGGAGCTCGTCTCTCGCAGTGGCAGGCAGTTCTGATTGCCCAACAACAGACGCCTGGCCAAGCCAGTCTCAAAAACTGTCTCTTGTCTTTTTGTATTTTATTGCACAGTCCTGTTACCTACAGTGGGCTAGGTCTGACTAGAAGGGCCTACTCCCAGAGCTGAACTCATGCATTTTGAAGGGCAGATGCAAAGGAACGCAGAACTAGTGTCCAGTCCTGGTGGAAAGTCTTATCTAGGAGACAGGTATCTGAAGAGTGTAGCAACGGACAATCAGTGATTTAAGCAGTCACCTTCCAGGCTAGCCCACGTGCAGTAAAAAGGTGGAAGGATTTTAGGACATTTGGTATCAGGAGCTCCAAGAGTATGTGGCCATTCGGAATGTAAGCGAGCAGTGCCCATGCAGAGTGGCTCCCCGTGTGTGGTTTCCAGCGCTTACGGCGAGAGCAGAGGAAGATGGCGTGGCAGGGTGGAGCATGAAGTTATCACTTAGGTGTCAAGTTTGACACTGGGAAGTAAAGCAGGAATCATAATGTCAAAGGTGAGGGCAGCGTGGGAGGGAGGCAGTAAGTGTTGGGGCCAGGCAGAGTTATCCAGCTTCTAGAGCTAGAACTTAAAGTTGGGAGCAGAGTATTAGCCTAGGTGTCTTGATGTTTAGTCCCAGAGTATAGCGCTAAAGATGTTCAAATTCTACCAACCTTAAGGCAGGGATTGGCCTTGCTCTTGTGTTGGGGTTGAGCATGCCGGTGGGCTCGTGAGGACCCCCCACATAGGAAGGGAGCCAAGTCCTGGGAAATAGTCTAACTGCCGGGTTTCCACCTTCCAAACCCAAACTTTGCCCATTCTTATTCAGCTTAGTGCTCCCCCTTTGTAAAGACCTTTTTAATATTAAAGCTCTAAGTACCTCTTCTGTGGTCTGACAGACATGAGGGTAACTCTTTAGGAAAAAAGCAGCTTAATTCCCCATACACACACACCACTCCCTCTCAGACTAATTTCCAGCAAACACACATACGCACCCACACACTGCCTTTTCTGTGATGGTACTTCTTGGATCTAATACAATGACTGATAATTTCAGTTTGACCTTTTAGTGCTGCTGAATTGCCAGTACTTAGCCTGACCTTGAACGTCTCCTCTTGAACCCCAGCTCTCCATGAAGATGTATTTTTGTACTTACAGAGAAAACCTCAGTTTCTATTATGCTTGTTTGCCTGTAGGGGTGGTCCTAGCCCTGGTATCTGTCACTCTTTCCCTTCCTTTTCCCTGTTCTTTGCCTCTTCCAGAAGGAATATGGGTGTCTGAGAAAGGTTCCATGCTATTGTGTATTGTTCCACTTGGGGACACGGACTCTTGCATGTCAGTTCATAATCTCCGAAAAGCTGGGGACACAGCATTATTAGAGAGATCCTGATAGGCCCTCTCTTCTGTTGCTACCGGCAAGGAGAGAACTTGGAGAAAACTTCTGCCTGGAAGGGAGCTGGGACCAGTCATTATCTTACCCAACCATATCAGTACTTGCTGTTTCCCTGCTTGAATGAACTGAGAGATGCTTGATGTTGCCAGATGATAACATATTTGTGATACCCTGTAGGCCTCTCACTCAGGAAGAAATTGCTCAGAGACGTGAGCGTGCAAGACAGAGGCATGCAGAGAAGCTTGCAGCAGCACAGGCGCAGGTACCCCTGGAGCCCACTCAAGATGGGCGTGCCCTTGACGCAAGTCCAAAGGGAGAAGAGCCAAGAGGTATGGCTTTCCCAAGTAGGCTGCGGTGTGAAGTGTTTGCCTTTTTGCTCGGCTTGGGACACGCATCCTTTAGCTCTTGAGCTTTTAGCTTTAATCATAGGTTTTGAGTATTCTTTTCATTCTTGGTGTTTCTTTTTCTGAAACTGGACCAATCATGTCATATTCACTGTTCCCTCTGTTTCTAGGCAGTCCCTGGATTAAAGAGAGCATTCTTGGCACTCATTGTCTTTTTGTTTCTGGCAGGTGATGAGCAACAGGTGGAAAGTATGACCCCTAAGCCTGTGCCCCAGGAAGAAAACAACCAAGAGTCTTTTGTTGCATTTGCTCGAGTGTTCAGTGGTATAGCCCAAAGAGGAAAGAAAATTTTTGTCTTGGGGCCCAAATACAGTCCTGTTGAATTTTTAAAACGGGTAAGAATCGGAAGTAAGACATTAGTATATTGTTTCAGGGGTCTGATATCTTTTCAAATGGTTTGGATTGGTGATTACCTTCTTCTTTTTTTTTTTTTTTTGGTGATTACCTTCTTGGTAGATTTATTTTGTCTCTGGAGAGGCACACGTGAGTGAATCTGCGTATTTCCTCTCGTGTTGCTTTGATAACATTTGGTATATGTGTCTCATTTAGTAGCATTTAGAAAACCAAACCAGTATGTGAGCCAAATTTTCAGGCCTTATTTAATTATAAGGCTTTTCTCTTTAAGGCAAGAATCACACTGTGGTTAGAGTAAAGAATTGATAAGAGCAGGTGTCATGCTGGAGCCAGGGCAATGCAAATCATCTAGAAATTTGAAGATCCCCAAACTAGGTGCCTCAGACCAAAGATGTGGGCAGTGTGAGCAGGTGGCAGGCAGCAGGTGCACGGCAGGGAGATCCTGGAAATCTTACAGGAGGGTCTGTAAGCAGGGGCGCAGCAGCATCTGAATATGCCTGAGCCAAAGGGCAAGAAAGATCACAGGCTAAGTTATCTCGGAACATTTTTGGAAGTAAACAAGATGCGTACATCACAATTAAATAATAAAGTCCCTAGAATGACAAAGATACCAGAGGTTCAAGAAGTCAGTCAGGATCAGCCAGGAGAAATAAGTTAGGAACTTGTCAGTCAGCAGCGTGAAGCATCACGAGGGAAAAAGCCCGTGCTCCTCTCTGTGCAGGAAGCAGCCTGTCTGCAGGCAAGCTCCAGTGCTTGGCCCAGTGAGAGAAAGGAGGTGGAAGTTGAAGAAAGTCTCTGCCGTCAGTTTTTCCTCGCCTCGAATGCTCGTTCCATCACTTCTAGCAGTTTAGTCCTTGGAGATTGCAGGGCTGAGTGGCAGTTAGGCAGTCCTTGTTGGACTGTGACATGTTCTAATTTAGCAAGAAGGAGTGTGTAGGGTGTGTGTAGGGTTGTATTTTATGGGGGTCTCAAAGTGCTGTGGTGACATGTATAAAAACCTATTTATGATTATCCTAACATCTTGGCTTGGATGTAATTGATAGTGTGTTGTTTCTAAGTTAGGGTCAAGTATCTGTTCATTTTTTTTTCCTCCTTTACTCTCTAAACTGTCCAGATGAGTAAGAAATTGTTATTTAGTGAAACAATGATTTATTGAGCATCACAAATTCCATGAGTATTCCAATTTATCTTCTGTGTATAGTGTCTCTGCTCTTGGGGGGCTACAGGTTGAAATCAACCGCTTAAGTGTCAGATGTCTCAAGCAGGAATGATTAAATGCATTGACAGCACAAATGACTCCTTGTTTCAGTAATCAGAGCCCATAAAACCTAATTCCAACCTACTTTAAAAAAGAAAGTGAAATATTTCAGACCTACCCCAGAAGTAACCTTTACCCAGAATTTGTGTTTATCCTTTGTGTTATTTTTATGTTGCTGTATATTACATATTGCAATAAATTTAGCAGCTTAAAAACAATATACATTATATCATATCATAGTTTCTGTGGGTTAGGAGTCCAGGCATGGCATAGCTGGGTCACAAAGCTGCAACCAAAGTGTAGGCCAGGCTACATTCTCATCTGGAGGATTGACTGGGGAAGAATCTGCTTCAAAGCTTATACGGTTGTTGGCAGAATTCGTCTTTGCACCTGTAGGACTGAGGGCCCCAGATTCTTTCTGGCTGCTGGCTGCCCTCATCTGGAGGAAGCCACCTGCAGTTTCATGTGGACTTTTCCAACTTGGAGGCTTACTTCATCAAGCCATTGAGGAGACTAGAATGCGTCTGCTAGCATAAGCACAGGGTAGCATCCCATCACTTTGCCATGTTCCATGGCTTAGAAGCAGGTCACAGGGCCTACTCACACTCAGGGAAAGGAAATACACAAAGGCATGAACTCCAGGAAGCAGGAGTTGGGGGAGGGGTGCCTTTCATCTGTTTGCCACGTCCTTCTCTTGCTTTTCTTTATAGTTTTACAGCCTGTGTATGCATTTCCAAAGAATTATTGTCACATTTCCATGTTTTTGAACTTTGTATAAATGGAATTTTACTGTAGTTATTTTCTACAACTTGCCTTTTTCTTTTTTTTTTTACTTAACATTGTGAGATTAATCTATATTAATGCCTATTCCTGTAGTTCATTTATTGTTCACTGCCACATAGGATTCCATTATATAAATATACATGTTATTTATACACTTTTATGTTACTGTATATTTGGGCTGTTTTCATTTTTTGCTAATCTAAACAATGCTGCCTTGAATATTTTTGTGCATATCTCCTTGTGCACATTTGTAAGAAATTCTAGGGAATATACCTATAGTGGAGTTGCCTAGGTAATCTTCATCCTAACAGGATAATTCCAATGTATCCTCTAGAGTAGTTTTGATTTACACTCCCAACAGAAGTGTTTAACAGTTCCAGTTATTCCACATCCTCACAAAATTTGGTATTGTTAGGCTTTTAATTTTTGCCAATCTGATGAGTATGATAAGGTGTTTTATAGTATTTTAATTTACATTTTCCTTATTATTCTTTTAATATCTTTATTGATCAATCATGTTTTCTCCTGTGAAGATATCTCTTTTGGTCATTTCCCTATTTTTTTTTATTGTGCTACTTTTTAAAAATGTTGGTTTTTGGATGTCCTTTGTATATTCTGGATACTAATTCCTCATCAGTTTTAAGTTTTGCAAATTTATTCTCCAGCTTGCGACTTGTGTTCACTTTCTATTTGGTACCTTTTAATGGACAGAAGTTCTTAATTTTAATGTGGTTGAATTCATCAATATTTTATGGGTTTTCCTTTTTGTATCTTGTTTAAGAAAATGAAGATTAGGACTAAAGTCACAAAACTTTCTTCTATGTTTCCTTCTAAAGTTTAATGTTTTGCTTTTGATGTTTAAATGGGGGGACCAACGGCAACACACGTAACCTAAACATCTGTATCCCCATAATATGCTGAAATAAAAGAAAAACAAAATAAATGTTTAATTTAGTATTTTTGTATGGTCTGAAGAAGGGATTCAGTTTCATTTTTATCCCCCATACAAATAACCAGGTTTTCCAACGTCATTGAATAGTACATCTAGAAGATGAATAGTACATCTTCTTCCATTAATCTGCTTTGTCACCTCTGTTGTAGGTCAGAATTTACGTGTGCGTGGATCTGTCTCTGAACTGTTAAATTTCATTTTTTCTATTTATCCATCACTGTCTTTATTCAGTCTTCATTTGTAAATGTTTTCAGAAATCTCTCTACCCTGTTATTTTTTTTTGTTTTTGTTTGGTCAGTGTCTTGTTTATTCCTAACTCTTTGCTCCTCTATGTAAAGTTTACAGTGAGCTTGTCAGTTTCCATGAGAAGCCCTGCTGAGACTTTGATTGGAATTACTTTAAATCAGTATGTCTATTTGTCATGAATCAACATTTTGCAATGCAGCCTCTTTCCATCCATTAATGTATTAGGTTTATCTGTCCTTTTACTTAGGACATTTTTAATGTTTTTCATTAAAGTTTTATAGTTTTCTCTATGTAGATTTTTCAGTCACTTTTGTTAGACTTATTCCTAGCTATCTTATATTTTCGTTATTCTGAAAGTTACTGTTTTGAAAGTATTTTCTGTCGCTAATCTTTAGAAATATAATTTACTTTTATAAATTGATCTTGTATCTTCGCCACCTTGCTAAGCTGACTTTTTTTTTGTGTGTGGTTTTAAGTGGATGGTCATACTTTCTGGATAATTCTGTTTCTTTATATCCGATTCTTACATTTTTTATTTCTTTCCAACCCCTCTTGAGAGCTACCCTGTAGAGTTGTCATTGTATCAGACCATACGTTAATACATTTAGATGTAGCACGTGCCTGAAAGGCCATCATTTTCAAGAAGTTCCCGAGTCTGCCCTGACACAGGAGCCTCTCCTTCCCTTGAGCCTTTGTGAATTTACTTGCCTGCACTACGTTTTTTTCAGTCCCTCTGTGCTTGTGATGTTAGTTATCTTTGTGTATGTTGCGTCTGAGACATTTTTTCTCTTCGTAGTCCTAGCACAGCGCCTTAGGCCATTGGGCACCAAGAATAGGTGGTTGTTTGATTGAAATGCTTTCTGGGTACTTGCATTTATATGGAGAATATATTTCTTTTGAGCTGACTTCACACAGCTCAAAACCTGAATCATTTAAGATATCTCTGTAAGAATAAATTTGATGTAGGGGGACCTCATAAATCTATTACACTTGTGGCGTGTTTTTGCCATGCGTGTGCTCTGTCTCTCATCAGTGCTCCAGTATTTCACGGCACGCTCTCTTCCACGTGAACAACGCAGCATACGAGAGCAGCTGTTTGGCCTTTTTCATGGCATTTGTATTACATCTAACTACTCTTCCAAAGCACTTTTCATGTGTTACTTGATACTAGCATTAACGCTTGTTGAATACTTGAAGAACATTATAGTAGTAGTAAAACAATTTTAAATGATAATAGTAATAATGAGTGTTCCAATAATAGCACAGTAGTCGCCAGAACTAGTACACGACACGGTTCACGTCTATAACTAGCAAGTGGCCGTGGGCATCAGCTAAACTGGTGCTACAGGTCGTGGCAGAATTCATATTACTTAGCTATAAAGTTTATGATTAAATGGGAATCTGGGCAATTTTTTAATATTTGAGAGATTTCAGTATTTCAGATTTTATTTATAAAGTGAGACTTATTTTTTAATCACACCATTTTAAATTTGCATGTTTCAAGTTTACATGAAGTGTGGCCATACCATATCTTACTGATGAATAAAAATAACTTTGATACCAATTAACATGGACACCAGTTAATGCTTTCAAATGCCTCCTAACTTGTCTTCATTTTTCTTTGCCCAGGTACCACTAGGCTTCTCAGCTCCGCCAGATGAGCTCCCCGCAGTCCCCCACCTGGCATACTGCACTCTGGAAAGACTGTATCTTCTGATGGGAAGGGAACTGGAAGAGCTAGAGGAGGTGCCTCCGGGAAATGTGCTAGGTATGGCGGCGTTGTGTATATGTGTCTATTCCATTCTGAGGGATTACCTAGCGTGTCACTAACAAATTAGTGAAATTTTTCAAGGGAATGACTTTGATCGCTTCTTTAGTTTGGTAATTTTCTTCTGGTATCTTTACTTAGTGCATTTGAGTAACAACATGTGGATTAATTACTTGCCATGAATTATGGTAGCTATGTTTTAAAAATGTAATCTATAATCCTGGCACTTTGGGAGGCTGAGGCAGGATGATTGCTTGAGCCCAGGAGTTCAAGACCAGCCTGGGAATCATAGCAAGACCCTGCCTCCACAAAAATGAAAATAAATATAAATTAGCTGGGCACAGTGGCTCATGTCTATAGTCCCAGATACACAGGAGGCTGAGGTGGGAGGATCTCTTGAGCCTAGGGGTTCAAGCGTGCAGTAAGCTTGAGTGATTGCTGCACTCCAGCTTGGGTAACAGAGCAGTACCCTGTGTCTTAAAATGTACTGTTTGAATAATCTGTTCATCTTCTATCCTAAGCTGTGGTTCCATTTATTTGAGAGTAATAGTGGGCATTCCTACTCATGTAAAGTCAGTCTAGATGGCAGAGACATTTCTGGTTGTACAGATTTGATTCTAAATTGTTGGAAACTATTCTGATGTAAAGATCTGTTTAAACTCCTAGCTTTTTTTCTTTCAATGTTTTTTATCCTTAGAGTAACAGTACTTAATTATCATTGTATATCTATAAATATTATTCTTTATCTCCTTAATGTTGCTACTTGCTTGACTTCTGTCCCTCATGTTCAGAGGTCACTTTTTAGGTCCATAGTGCAACGCTAAAGACTCAGATTAAGAAATTTCTTAAGAAATTGCTTGGGCTGAGAATTCTCTTTAACTTTCAGAGAAAAAGTCTAAGCTATTGGTTTGTCGGGATTTTGTGGACTTTAATCCAAGAAATTTGCCAAAGCATTTTGCTGCTTTCCTGCAGGGATTTATTTTAAAATTCTTTAAAAAAATTTTTTTGGCATGCAGTTAGAATTCCTAGCTTCTCATCGGTGCTACTTATTCTTTTCCATCCCTTTGGAAAATGCCACCAAACATTAACAATTGATACAATTTTATAAGCTACCACAGCCAACTTTGTCAGAAAGGACATTAGAATAAGAATGGAAAACATGCTACTTTTGTTCTTAAGCCTTCCCTGGGATTACTGTATTGCTCAGACTAAATCCAATTTGTTTCTTAAATGGAGCATGAGGTAGAAGATCTCCAGCATGATGCTCAAGTGAAAGAAAAGGTATTCTGCTGAGTGAATTGTGTTTGTGCCCGGTGTTTGTGCTCTTCCCCAGTAGACATAGGGAACATGCATGCATTAGTTTCTGGTTTCCTTCTTTCTGTTGCTAGATTTCTAGATGCTAGCCAGTACTGAGGTTAAGTGGTGTGTAAGGAAGGAAACCGTTTCTCTCTCTTCTGTCTCCCAAGGCAGTCTCGGCTCTGTCTGGCATCTGCTAAAGGGAGACCTACTGCAAGCTAAAACTTTCCATTTCTTCTTGGAGAAGAGATATATCTCACTCTCTTTTTTTGACCTTTTAAAAAAGTGGGGTGGTGGTAGGACCTGGGGTGAGGGTAAAGGTGAGTAAACATTTGTTTACCAAATTTACCTACGTAAGACTAAGCCAGATGACACCCGCTTTGGTGCAAAATGAATTGACAAGGAAAAGCCAGGTTTATTTCCTAGTGGAGTCAGGATTGTATTTAACTGCAGGTAACTAAAAAACCAATTGCGTATTCTTAAACTTCACTCAATAGAAAGCCCAAGGACAGACAATCCAGGGCTGGTGTGATGGCTCTCCTACGCCATTAGAGAGCCAGGTTCCCTCTGTCTGCCTGCCTCACAAACCTCAGCGTGCGTTTTTGTACCATGGAACCAAGACGGCTCCTGTAGCACCACCGCCTTCCTCACAGGCAGAGGGCACAAGGGCCAAGGCCTTCTAGCAGGATTCGTGTTTTTATCTGGGCATAAACGCCCTCTCTGGTGACTTCAGTATGTATCCTCATTTTTGTGGTTTTGTCATATGCCCACCTCTAGCTGCAGGGGAGGCCTGGGATTGAGTGCTGAACTTTTACGGCCTCTACAGTCAAGGCAAGGGATGTGGGAGCTGTGAATGGTTTTCAAGTAGCCGGTCCGCAGTGTCAGCTACATTCCCCATGCATTCGCCTGGTGATGCCTGAGGCCCCTCCAGTAAGGTTCTGTTTCTTTACATTAAGGAGAAAGATAGTCCACCAGGAGGATTATAACATTGAGGAAGTTGGAACCCAGCCAGCCACTGTGATTTGCCTTTCAAATTGAAATATATAGTAATTGTTTTCCTTCTATTAATCCAAATCTAACTGAGTCCCCTGCGTGACTAGAAACCATGGGTATACCAAAATTCTGGTAATAGTTTTGCCACTAACTAGTTATGTGGCCTCAGGCCAATTGCATAACCTTATTGGGCTCGTTTTCCAGAATGATTTGGACTAGAGTGATGATTACTGATATTTCTTATGGTAGAAATAGAACAGCCACATTTAATTTTTTTATCAGAAGACTATTTATGGATTCCCAGGGATTCTTTTATTATATTTATCATATCTGTTATATTTATAATATATCCTAAACTTTAAAGATAAAGCATTAAATAATATTGGATTGAGTACATTTTATTGCTATAGCTATGAAATATTAACAGAATTGCATTTTGTACACTTTGTAACATACAAGCAAAATTGACGTTTAAAATTGCCGTTATATTATGGCAGGTTGACATCCCAATGGGAATAGAGTGAGGTAAAAATTCTTAGTACTCATGTCATGAAAATCTTGCCTGGATTATGTCAGTATCCCAATGCCTGGAAAAAAATTCTAAACTAGATCATCTCCAAGATCCCTTCTAGCTGTTAACTTTTCAGGCTATGTTTCTAAAGAAAAACCTTATTTCATTTAATTAGGCTATTTCCCCTCTGGTCTTCACTGGAAGGAATGGTAAATGTTTTGCTGTGGTTACTTGATTGGATTGATAACCATTTAAATGGCTTCATCAAATATCTTGAACTAGTTATCAGCCTCAGAGTCATAGAATTACCTTTGCAGGCAAATTTCACTTATTCGTTGATTAAAAACATGGAGCATATGTTAGCAGTAGCAGCAGCAGTTTCATAAACCAAGGTGTTTAATGAAAGCAACTTTCAAAGCTAGGAATAAGTTTAAGCAGGACAGAAGAGGCAGCCAGAGACTCTGGTGTGAGGTGAGAGGCATACAGCCCAAGGAAGGCCCGGCTGGCCGCCAAGGGTGGTGAATGCCGAGATGCCATCCATCAGGTTGCTAGAGTGAGTTGACTGAGACCAGATATGCCAGCACAGTTTTTTTTTTTTTTTCTTTGAAACAGGTTTGTCTTCTCAGGTGGGTTTGAAATGGAAAGAATAAGATGGCTGCAATTTGGCTGAAATAATCTGTATGTTCCAGTTACCTATTGCTGTGTAATAAACCACTCAAAGCCTAGTGGCTTAAAATAAAGATAGCTTTTATTTTTCCATGCATCTGCAGTTGGGCATGGTTTGGTGGAGACAGCTTGTCTCTGTTTCACATGGTGTCTGTTGAGGTGGCTCAACGCCTGGGGACTAGAGGCATATGAAGGCTCTTTCATGCACATGTCTGGAGATTGATGCTGGTTGCCGGCTGGGACCTTGGCTGGAAGTGGGACTGAGGCTTTTCCATATGGCTATTTGGCTTTCTTACAGCATGATGGCCAGGTTTCATGGGAAAGTATCCAGTGGGGAGAGCCGGGAGGAAGCTGTATCACCTTTTATGACGTAGCCTTCAAAGCCATCAGCCTCACTTTTGCCACATTCTGTCTGTTAGAAGTGAGTCACTACGACTGGCCTGTATTCAAAGGGAGGGAACTAACTTCACATCCACCTTTCGATGGGAGGCATGTCAGAGTATTTGTGGGCATGTTTTAAAACGACCACACTACTAATCATAATTTCCTGTTTCCTTTTGCATTTTAGCAGGCCCATGGCAAGATGCATATCACAAATTAAGACACAGAGATGTTCATAGTGATCAGGGCAAGCCCATAAACTCCTTCTTTTTTTTTTTTTTTTTACTTTTGTTAATGTAGAGAAAAAGTTATAGTTCCTATTTAATAAGAAAATAGTAGAGAGGGATATGATTGATACCCATATGCTTTTCATCAGAAATGATACAGAGTCAGTAAATTTATCAAGTGCAGATGGAAGTTTTTGTTGGAAAAAGAAATGAAAATATTATATGACATTCTTGGACAATTCAATGTTTTATAGTCAAAGTCTCAAGGAAAGTTCTTTTATTGGCACTTGAAAAATGCAGATTTCACATTTGAACTCAGCAATAACTCACTAGGAGAGCTTATATGTGCTGATAAGTGTGGAATAGATTTTGTGGTCTGGAAATAGTTGATTTAAAGTTTAAAAATCATTTAATTCCAACCTGATGTTTATAGAGTTGGTGTAGATGGGACCAAAGAGCCCCCACCGTGTCCAACACACAATAGCCTTTTGTTCAATTCCCTACTGAGAATATCTCTAAAAATAAATGTTTGCCACAGGCTCCTATTAAACTGTGGGGGGAAATTGAATTAGGATTCCAAATCTTTAACCTTTTCATGTACCCTTTTAGATCTCTTCCATATGGGTAAATCTTTGAAAGTTCAGAGACGTACTCTGAGAGGAAACGTGATATTCCTCTTTTCACAGCATGGGAAGCATAATAAATACTAATTAGCCTTTTTCTGAACGGGTTTTAGTTCTGTCATGGTGGTTTGCTGGGTCCATAAGAAGTCATTGTCAATAATCGGTGTAGACTGAATCAAGCGTGTGTGTGTGTCAGAATCCTTAGTCATGGGATAGCCTAGGAATCAGAACCCTTTGAACGGTTTTACCGGCAAATTTGATTTAATTTATTTCGAGGAAAATCTTAACAGTATTTGTCTCTTAAGACTTTAGGGTACTTTTGTAATACTTTAAATTCACTTCTAGTGAGTTTCTTTTAAATGTAC